ACTGCCAGATCTGAAGCTGGCTGTTCACTGCTGCTCTGGGGGCTGGGGCTTTTGGTGGATATTCAATCTGCAAACAAAATGTTACCAATTCACAGATTTTTGGAGAATTGGTTTGCCAGTCAGCAGGATAAAAAAGGTTGGAAACCACTGGTGCAAACTATCCAAAACAGATGGCTGTCTAGCATACTTTGGAAAACCTCACTGCCAGATCTGAAGCTGGCTGTTCACTGCTGCTCTGGGGGCTGGGGCTTTTGGTGGATATTCAATCTGCAAACAAAATGTTACCAATTCACAGATTTTTGGAGAATTGGTTTGCCAGTCAGCAGGATAAAAAAGGTTGGAAACCACTGGTGCAAACTATCCAAAACAGATGGCTGTCTAGCATACTTTGGAAAACCTCTAGTGAAGGAGCTTCTGCAACAGGGGTTGGCAACCTATGGCATGTGTGTCAATTTTCAGCTCAGCTCCCCTTTTTGGAGCCTGCACAGACACGAAGCTTGGAGCACCAGCTCTGGCTTCCAGGTGCACAGGGCAGAGGATAGGCAAAGAAAGCTCCGACTTGTGTCCATACCCGGTGTCCCTGAGAGCTGCCCTGGCTCCCCTTCCACTTCCACAGGGCAGCACAGGGACCTCTCACAAAGCCACAGGATTGAGATCCAGCCCCCACACGTGCACTGCTGCTGCTCCGCTTGCCCCAGCTCCACTAGCACGCAGGGACAGGAACAGGCTACCTTGCCCCTGGGGCCTGGGTGGGACCTTCCCCAAGAAGCTGCCACCATGCGAGATGGGCAGAAAGGACGGGGATGTTGAGGGCTGGGGGGGGTATGAGGCAATGGGGGGGGTGAGAAGGAAGCAATGGAGTGGGCGAGTCCGCCCCCGGTGCCCCAGAGAGCTATCCCGGCTCCCTGCCCACTGCCACCGGATGGCGCAGGACCACACAGAGCCAGGACATCACCACACCCCAGGGCAGGGGTGCGGGAGTGGGGGTCAAGTGTGGGAGAAGTGGGGGCTGGGGTGAGGAGGTAATGGGGGAAATTGGGGACTGGGATGTGATGGGGTCAGGCTCAGAGGGTTGGGGGTTTTTGGATTAGGGTTCCCCCCCCCTCCATACTTGTGTGATACTCAACTAATAGCTCCCCAACCCTGCTATAAAGAAAATATTGAAACCTTCTGTGTTGGACATAAATTAATATTTTACTTTATTTAAAATAAAGTTTGATAAACTAACATGAGAAAGTTAAAATGCTTAATTTGTTTAATAATTTAAATTAAACCATTTTCCCTGGCTGCAGCACTAGCAAAATGGCTCGGATGTAGTTAACAGAGAGTTTCCATTAACAACTGGTGGTCGGTGGAAAGGTTTGCATTGAGCCAGGTGGTCCACGGACCAAAAAGTTTGAGAACCACTGTGCTAGAGGGTGATTGCTGCCCAGGCTACGGCTCCTGGGCTGGGAGGAAGCAGGGGCGACAGAGGAAAACCCCTATCCCAAGTTTTTCCTGTGATTTAATCTGAATCTGCTCCACTGCAGCTTGGGCCCACTACCCTTTGTCCTGACTTTTGTGGCAAGAGAAAACTGTTTTCCATCTTTTTATGGCAGTCTTTCAAATATTTGAAGTCTGGTATCATGTTCCCCCTCAGTCTCTTTTTTCCCCCCAAACTAAACATACCCAGTTCCTACAGCCTTGCATTCCATCCCTTTGATCATCTTTTTTCTGCAGCCTTTCTATACATTGGTGACCAAAACTGGGCACAGTACTCCAGCTGAGGCTCAATCAGCATCAAACAGAGCAGTACTATCACTACCTGTGACTTGCCTCCTATGCATCTGTTAATGCAGCCTAAAATTGTATTTGCTTTTTTTTTTTTTTTTGAAACAATATCACATTACTGATTCATGTTGTGATTGAGATGTTCAAAGAGATTTACAAACACTGAGGCTGTGTCAGCATTATTGTAACTGAATCTGTGACCAGTTAGTGCCAGAGACAGCTCTAACCATGGTTTGAGTTCACTCACAACTGGTACTCTTTAGAATCACAACAGTCAGTCATGCTTTCCAGTGGCCTAGGCTGGCACACAGCCGTTTTCCTCCACAAGGTATGTTGGCTTTGTTTTTCACTATGTAGAAGGAAACGCCTGAATAAGTTTGTGTCACAGGGATGGCCTGTCTTCCACCTTCCTTACAGCTTACCCTATGCACTCTTACTATCCGTCCAGGTGCATGTCCTTCATGCTCCATTATTCCCCTGCTGAGAACATTTAGGATAGTTTGCCCAATTTTCCCTGATACAAACACAGTAGGCAACATGACAGACAAAGGAATATTTTACACATTCTTCTGATGCGGAGGAAAAAAATGCAGAGCTCAGCCATGTTTGGTGTAACCAGGTTAAGTAGCCATAAAATGAATTACAACTGCAACATTTAATTAAGACACAACATTCTGTGAATAAATATCTATTCTGAGAAGGGAAGTCAAAATAGAGTATAAGTTACTTGCCAAAGGTCATAAAACACATTGAGGGAAGGACCAAGGCCAAAACCTAGCTCCTAGGCCACTGTACTCCTCCCATCACTGCTTCCCAATTCAATGTTATATTGAAGCTTCTCTCTTATCCCTAATACCGTACAATTTGTTCTCTGCTGGGAGAGGTATAGATAATCCTTCTCATGACAGCAACATAAAGATCAAAACTCTCATGGGAACCTCCCTAGTGTGACCAGGCACCCAGTTCTCCCATTCTTTAAAACCCTTCCACTACATACCTGTTTCTTTTCTCCCTGGGTGGCTGCTGGAGAGCCAAACCCCCCTGGGGACTGTGTGTATCCACCACTAATTGAAGACCCACCATAGCCACCGTCAAAGCCACCTAGGGTAGGGGGGAAAGAATCACAGTTACTAATACATTGTTGCCAATCCCAAGTGTTCAAAAATCACAAGTTATACCAAATAGTCGTGCAATTAGCTTACAATTAGACAAAATAAAGTATAGTAAATACCACCCAAAATGTACATTATATTACTGAGCTCTTTGGGTCACTCAGGTGTTTTCCAGCAGCCGTATCCAGTAGAGGGAAAGCTGAGACTCTCACATATTCACTTAATTCAAACAGCCAAACTTACATTCTCCCCACCTGTAAGTCTTACTCCCCAGCAGCCTGCATTTTTAACCTGCACTCAAGTCCAAACCCCACCAAAGTTCAAAGAAGGCACCAGAACGCTAAGCTCATGGGGACGCCAGGTCACAGAAAGGGGCAATGCCATAGGGTCAGCGACCTGGCCTCAGCAACCTATAGCGTCTCACAAGGTGAGACACATGCCTGCACTCAAGTCCAAACCCCACCAAAGTTCAAAGAAGGCACCAGAACGCTAAGCTCATGGGGACGCCAGGTCACAGAAAGGGGCAATGCCATAGGGTCAGCGACCTGGCCTCAGCAACCTATAGCGTCTCACAAGGTGAGACACATGCCT